GACTTCCCCAAGGAGAATAGAGAGGAAAGGGAAGAGCGTCTTCAGAGGGAGAAGATCCGTGAAGAACGCCGGAGGGAGAGAGAGAGGGAGAGAAGGTTGGAGGCGAAGGATGCGGCTATGGGTAAGAAGAGCAAGATCACGAGGGACAGAGACCGTGATATCAGCGAGAAAGTCGCTCTCGGAATGGCATCTACCGGGACGAGGGGCGGTGAAGTTATGTATGACCAACGTCTGTTTAACCAAGACAAAGGAATGGACTCTGGTTTTGCAACCGACGACCAGTACAACGTATACGACAAGGGCTTGTTCACAGCACAGCCAACTCTTTCGACCCTTTACAAGCCAAAGAAAGATATGGACGAAGAGATGTACGGAAACGCCGACGAACAGCTAGAGAAGCTCATGAAGACGGACAGGTTCAAACCGGACAAAGGATTCACCGGAACATCAGAGAAATCGGGCAAGAGAGAGAGACCGGTGGAGTTTGAGAAGGAAGCCGAGGAAGCAGATCCCTTTGGTCTGGACCAGTTCTTGACAGAAGTGAAGAAAGGTAAGAAAGCGATGGAGAAAGTCGGGTCTGGAGGAACGATGAGGGCAAGTGGCGGGTCCTCGAGGGATGACTATGGTGGTGGGTCGAGCCGGAGCAGGATCGGGTTCGAGCGTGGCAGCGGCCGTTAAATCTACTCTGCTCAAGCCATAGATATTACAAATTCTATCTGGGTATGGATTTCCGATAGATTATTCTGACCATTTTGGGTTGGGCTGTCGAATTTGCAGGAGGGTTTAAGTTTAAGAAAGGTTTATGTTCCTTGCAGTTATGTTTGCTTTCTTGCCTTCTTGTTGGTTGGAAGCGGGTTTTATGTTAAACTCTGTAACCCTTAATTTGGTTTATAAAATTCTCCGAGAGTTTATTGGGCACCTCTCTCTTTGGTTTTTACGGTTGTAATTTTTTGGGATTTACCGTCTAGGTTTTGCCAGATTTCCGTTAAACTTTGTTATCTGTCCTCTCTCGGTTAATAATCATTAACCGGTAAGTTTCATGTTTCAGGTCACAAAAAAAAAAAACACTAAGCCCAATAGGCCCATCATTGATAATATGGGCCTGATTATGCGATATTAGAAAGTCGTGGAAGGGGACTCGGGAATCGTAATTGAGCGCAATAATATTTGATTCTAATTTTATCTAGTTTTCTAAAATTAATTAAACCGTAAACCTGATAAATATCGATCCAATCGATAAAAATCATACCAAAAATTAGCTTTTTTGTTTAGTATTTGAACCGATATTAAAACCAAATCGAATTGAACCGATTAAAATTCGGTTATAATTTGGTACAATTTATATAAAATTAAATAATTAATGGGCTACCTATTTTGTTAGTGTATTGTGGGAGTGAGTGTACATTTGATATTCTTTCGTCTTCCCTCTAGCCCGTGGGCTTCATGGTACCAATACGCCAGATCCCATCACCGTCGTCCTTCCACCGTCTCTGTCATTTCTTCTCCGTGACCGCCTATGACGTCTCTCTTGTATCTTACCCACCTTCATCTACTACATCACAATCTCCTCCCGAACGAACCAAGGCCATCGCAACTCTTCTATCTAACTGCACGACCCTCTCTCATGTTCGCCAGGTTCATGCCCATCTCCTCTGTTCTCGCATTCTGGAGCTCTGCTCTCTCCCTTTCCATTGGAACAACATCATTCGAGCCTACACTCGTCAGGTTTCTCCTCTCGATGCTCTTTCGGTCTACTTCGACATGGCGAGATCCGGCATCTTGCCCGATCGTTTTACCCTTCCTATCGTACTCAAAGCTGCAGTTCAGTTTTACGACACCCAGATGGGAAAGCAGCTCCATTGCGTCGCCACGAGGCTTGGGCTTGTCCGAAATGAGTTCTGCGAGAGTGGGTTCATCACGTTGTACTGTAGGGCGGGAGAATTCGAGAATGCACGGAAACTGTTCGATGAAAATCCTCAGAGGAAGCTTGGTTCTTGGAACGCCATCATTGCGGGGTTTAGCCAAGCTGGGCGAGCCGGAGAAGCCATGGACATGTTTATGGAGATGAGAAGGGAGGGTTTCGAACCAGACGATTTCACCATGGTGTGTGTGACATCGGCATGTGGAGCCTTAGGGAACTTCAACTTGGCCTTTCAGTTGCACAAATACGTCCTCCAAGCAAGAACCCAAGACAAATCCGACATTATGATGATGAATTCGCTCGTCGACATGTACGGAAAATGCGGCCGCATGGATTTAGCGGAGAAGGTGTTCGCCAAAATGCCCGTACGAAACGTCCGGACCTGGACCTCCATGATCATGGGTTACGCCACTCACGGGAGAACGGAAGAAGCCTTTGAACGGTTCAACCAGATGAGAGAATCCGGAATCCGACCGAACCACGTCACGTTCATCGCAATCCTCACGGCCTGTGTCCATGGCGGACTTGTGGAAGAAGGGAAAACGTATTTCAGAATGATGAAGGAGGAGTTCGGTCGAGAACCGGGATTACCCCACTATGGATGCATGGTGGATCTTCTGGGCAGGGCAGGGAGGTTGAAGGAAGCCAGAGAGATGGTGGAGGGGATGCCGATGGACCCTAACGTGGTGGTGTGGGGTTGTCTGATGGGTGCGTGCGAGAAATTTGGGGACATAGAGACAGGAGAGTGGGTGGCTCAACATTTGGTCGAGCTCGAGCCGTGGAACGATGGAGTTTACGTGGTCTTGGCGAATGTGTATGCGAAGAGAGGAATGTGGGATGAGGTTGAGAGAGTGAGGAATGCCATGAAGGAGAAGAAGCTTTCCAAGCTTCCTGGTTTTAGCTATGCTTCTTCTTCTTCTTCTTCTTGATTCTTTGCCATAAGGCAAGAACACAGCACCTTTGTCTTCTCCCGGTTCTTGACTGAATCTGAAATGTGAATGTTCAATAATCTCTGTATTGATGGTTCTGTTATGCATTATGCATTGAGTTTCTGTTTGGTTTAGATTTTTCATTTGTAACAGGGACTGTATTTTTTTTGTCTTTTTTTTTTTATACAATTTGACATGGAATCTGAAAGTGAATGTTCAGTAAATCCTATACCATGGTTTACTATTTTTGGGTTTGTTTCGGAATTACGGGCGAATGGATAATAAAGTTCATTATTTTTAATTCATAATCATGTTTTTTTTGTAATTTTCCTGATTTTAGATTATAAAAATGCTAATCATGCATTTCGTGGTTAAACGGTTTTAACTTATATATATATAATTATTACAATTTGGTAACACTATTGTATTCATGGACGGATCCAATTTAATTCGCGAACATTAATACGTTTCTGATAGGTTGTTAGGTCGTTGTTCAAATGGATCCATATTAATAATAGTCATACACCATGGAATGATTATATATACGGCAGGTTATTTATTTGTTTAACTTATCTACGTGCAAAGACTACGTGAAAGGGGTTGTCACGTGCCGATTAGAATGAAAACAGAGGACCCCTCACGTGCCTCCCCGAATTTGAACTTCCCGAGTGTTAAAAAAAAAATAAAACAAAAGGGTAAAATCCGGCAGAAGGGGAGAAAACCCTCTCTCTCTCTCTCTCTCTCTCTACAATCGGGAAGGAAGAGAGGAAGATCGCCATGGAAACTATACTCGTAGACTGTGTACAGAACAGTCTTCGTCTATTCATGTACAAGAATGCCATTTTCATGTGCGAGCGTCTCTTGGCCGAGTTCCCCTCCGAGGTACCTGCTCTTTCACTCTTTCGTCTAATTCCTGAAATCGAAGAACTTCTGTTGTTGATGTGGAGATTCTGATTCCTTAGGTCGGTTTCGATTTTTATCTCTTTTTCGACTGAAGGAATGAAAATCCTCGTTGCGTGTACCGATATCGATGTCGGGTTTTTCAGCTCTTGTACTTTTGCTTCTGAATCTTTCGGTTGTTCTTTAGCTCGAAATAAGGAATGAATTCCAGAAATTTTCACTCTTTCTTCGAGATCTTCCCCTGTATTATTGTTCAGTACTGATCTGGTCTGGTTTTGGTTTCGGGTATTGTCCGACACAACTTGTTCAGAGGGCTGTTTCGGTGATAATTTCTGGAAATATCGAACTTTTGTCCCCATTGATGTCGAACTGTCGAAAGAACTTTTTGGGCGTGCCTCAAATTTTCTGCAAGGTTGGCTTTAAACTGCTTTGAAATTTGGAAATCGATGCTGAGAAAAGACTTCGTCCGTATAAGATTTGCTGTGGGGTCTTCCTGTTTATGTTCACTGCATATTTCTTAACAGGCTTTTCCCTCTTACAGATAAATTTGCAGCTATTAGCTGCCGTCTACTTGCAGAGCGGCCAAGCTTACAGCGCGTATCATCTTTTAAAGGGTGTGTTTGTAGCATTGCTTCATGTATTGTAGTGGCTGTTTTCTGCTTAGCATTTGAGTTTTTTTTTCGTTATCGTTTGCTCATCTTTGTTATTTCGGTGTTGCGATTATCTGAAGGAACACAAATGGCTCAGTCCCGCTACTTGTTTGCTTTGTCATGCTTCCATATGGATCTTCCTAATGAAGCTGCATCTGCACTTTGCCCTCCTAATGAACCTGGTGCGGAGGTATTTAATGATCTGTGAAGTGAATTCTTTTTTTTGTTCAGGCATCACTTGGATAATGCCAGACAGTATTTTGTCTTGTTGCTTTCATTTGTTTCACTTAAGGAGATCTATCCATTTCCTTGTGTCTGTGACTGTTTTGCAGATCCCAAATGGTGCTGCTGGGCATTACCTTCTTGGACTTGTTTACAAGTTTGTCCCCTTCCCTTTTCTTTTTAAATTTTCCTATTATACTTAGGTTTCTTGCTTTTGGATGATTTCATGTGTCTGCTTAGATGGTTTCTCATCTTCAATGGTAACTTTTCAGGTTAACTGACCGGAAGAAGAATGCTGTTCAGCAATTTAGGCAAGCCTTGACTATAGATCCGCTACTCTGGGGTGCATACGAGGAATTATGTGCACTAGGTGAGTGGGATCCTTCTTTTTATCTTTTATTGTGTGTTTTTTTGTGATATTTTCCTCACAGTGGGAACGAGTCGTTAGCCGTGACTTGAAGTTGTTGCAAATCCTGGAAGATTTAACTCAACCGCAATGAGTTATGAGTGAAGAAACGAAGAATTCATGCAGCTGATCCCAAATAAACTTGGGATTAAAGCGATGATGAGTTTCCTCACAGTTTCGAGCCGTCATTCTTTTTTTTTTTTATGTTCTTCAGGAGCTGCTGAGGAAGCAACTGCAGTTTTTGATGAAGCAGCTGCTCTCTCAATTCAAAAGCAGTACATGCAACAATTGTCAACTTCCCACAGCATAAATGCAGCCAATGAGGAATGTGATTTCGTGGTGCCTAATAAAAACTTTAGTTCTGAAGATCCTAGTCCAAGGCAATCAAAACTCACCCAAGGCAATAGCCTTAAAGATATCTCTGGAAATTACCATGCCCATGGCCTTAATGGTGGTGCATCGAATATGGCATTGTATAATACTCCTTCGCCGGTGGCTTCACAGGTAATGTAACGCAAAAACCCTGATTGATGGTTATATGTTAGCAGCATTTTCTTCAAGTAATTCTGAATAATCTCTTGCATGTCAGCGTTCACTTCATCTGATGTTTAATTTCTCAGCCACTTTCAGATCTTGGATATCATTCTTTATGCTTTTATAATGTATGCTTTCGGTATGAATGATGGGTATGTTAATCTTGTTAACACTTTTAAGCACCATGTTCTAGTCTCTTGCATTGTCTGTATGGGCCATGGCATAACCAAACCTTTTATTTGGTCAAGCAAATTTCATATCTTAAAACACTATTTATTTTGTTACTTTGACGGAAATGCTTGAAACATTCACTCTGAAATTATAGCTCAGTTGTATTCGCACGGAGGGATTTATTTGGTTTATCTTGTTCTCTAATTCCCCAAACTGTTAAACCTGTAGCTATCTGGTATAGCTCCACCGCCACTTTTCCGGAATGTGCAGCCGGCTGGGCCAAATCCAATCTCTCTTACATCTGAAAGTTCTCCGAAATCCACGGTAAACTCTACTATTCAAGCTCCCCGAAGGAAGTTTGTGGATGAAGGAAAGCTAAGGAAGGTTAGTGTGCGTGTATCTGGGTATAACAGATTATTGGTGGCTTGTTGCTTACCTTTTTTACTGTAGCGTTCCTATCATTGCATTGGTTCTGATATTCAGTTGGACTGGCTTTTTCACATTGAAGAGCATGTGTCTTATTTTTGTAGATTTCGGGTAGGCTGTTCTCGGATTCTGGTCCACGAAGGAGTACAAGACTGTCTGCAGATTCGGGGGCAAACAGTAACTCCAATGTTTCAGCAGTTAGTGGAAATGGAAACACCTCTTCAAAATATCTGGGAGCTTCTAAATTGAGTTATTTGGCACTTCGGTCTGTGACAGTTCGCAAGGGACAGTCTTGGGCAAATGAAAATATAGATGAAGGTGGTTCTACTCCATGCAATATATTGCTTGTTTTGTTTAAGTCCTGGATGAGCATTATGATTAACATCTAATCTTAGTCTCATTTTGATTGCCAGCGTTGGTGTAATACACTAACCGTCTTCTGTTTTGATTGATTTAGGGGTTCGAAATGAACCTTTTGACGATTCACGGCCCAACACTGCCTCAACAACTGGTTCAGTTACTTCCAATGATGCCAAATTCCATGAACAAGAAGAAGCAGCAGCATCTGTTGGTAGCACAACATTGAACATCCAAAGAATCACAAGTGGTGCTTCTGAAATATTAAGCCTCCTAAGGATCCTCGGGGAAGGGTATAGATTGTCATGCCTGTATAGATGTCAGGTAAACGCAATCTCTTACTCTTGAATAATGGATGGTCAGATTATACGTTTTAAGGCATTATGTCATTTATCTTTTTTATTCTGGGTGCTTTCAGGAGGCTCTGGATATGTATACCAAGCTACCACATAAGCATTACAATACAGGTTGGGTTCTTTCCCAGGTAATATGTGGATCTCTTATGTCTTACGGCTGTTGACGTTTTTGCCTTTATATTACCTGTCTGGGAACCATCTCATTACGGTTTGGTGCATGTGTATGGATTTTTTGAACAATTAACTTGAATGAAAGTCATAGTCTGACTACCAAAGTTTAACACTCTACTGGGTTTTAAACACTAACTGCTCTTTGAATGCAGGTCGGAAAAGCGTACTTTGAGTTAATAGACTATTTGGAAGCTGAAAGGGCTTTCCATCTTGCCCGCCAGGCATCTCCTTATAGCTTAGAAGGAATGGACATATACTCTACTGTCCTCTATGTGAGCTCGTTTTCTTTTCTGGTTTCTGAAAAAGTACTCATTCTCCTCCGACAGAACTCAATTGCGATGATGCATTACTTTCGGCTTAGGATGTTGTTGTTGTTGTTGCATTAATTCCATGCGATGGCATATTGAACCAGTACGTACTCATTTCTCGCAGCATTTGAAGGAAGATATGAAGCTATGTTACCTGGCTCAGGAACTAATGTCAACTGATCGCTTAGCTCCCCAATCTTGGTACCTTTTTTCTCTTATTTCTTGCATCTTGTCGGTAGTAATCTAATATATTAACTGACCAAAATATGTTTAGGATTGCTATGGGAAACTGTTATAGTTTGCGAAAGGACCATGAAACTTCACTGAAGAATTTCCAACGAGCTGTGCAACTGAATCCAAAATTTGCATATGCGCACACCTTATGTGGCCACGAGTATGGAATCTCTGCTATCCATTTCAGTTCAGTTTCGATTTTTATATGCGAATGAATCTCATCTGTTTGGTCTTAATCTTCTGTCTCTTGACTCTTTGTGGTAGACTTTCGACTCTCGAGGATTATGAGAACGGAATGAGATGTTACCAAAACGCCCTTCACGTAGATACAAGGCACTATAACGCTTGGTATGGGCTTGGAATGACCTACCTACGGCAAGAGAAGTTCGAGTTATCAGAGCATCACTTCAGAATGGCTTTCCTGATAAATTCAAGTTCTTCTGTTATAATGTCTTATCTGGGGACAGCTTTACATGCCTTAAGTGTTAAGTCCTCTTACTTTGATTCATTTTCAGCCTACAAGAAACCGAAATTATGTAAAACCTCTGATTCTTGTCTTTCTTTAACATTTTGGTCTATCAGAGAAGCGAGGAAGCCATTGAGACAATGGAGAGAGCTATTCAAGCAGACAAGAAAAACCCTCTACCAATGTACCAGAAAGCTAACATTCTGGTCAGTTTGGAAAGATACGATGAAGCTATAGAGGTTCTAGAGGAGCTCAAAGGGTATGCACCGTGCGAAAGCAGTGTGTATGCATTGATGGGTAGGATCTATAAACGTCGAAACATGCACGATAAGGCCATGCTTCACTTCGGTCTTGCTCTGGATATGAAACCTCCTGCTGCAGATGTTGCAGCCATAAAGGTGTGAGACTCTATATTGTTCATATATATATCACCATGAACCAAGAATTGTGTGAGATCGATTTTGCTACTGTTGATCTGATCATTGTATCTGAACAGGCTGCAATGGAGAAGTTGCATGTTCCTGATGAGATGGAAGACAGCCCATGAAAAAGACTTTCCTGCGCAGGAGAACCATGGAGAAGAAGCTAGGGTTCCACTTCCACAGGTGTAATAACCTGGCTCTGAGTGATGAATCTGAAATCTGAATGCAAGGAAGAGGTGTTTGACTTCAGGATCCGAGTTTGTAATTCAAAAGGGTTTTTGTAGTTTTGACCTCAAACCCTACAAAAGAAAAACCACAAGGAAGGCTGGCTACCACATGAGATTAGGGTTTATGGTCATGTATCATTATTATGTTAGGATTGTATCTTATGTTGTAACGGACCGACCCTGAAAACTAAACCATAATCAAATATATAAAATATGATTCCCCATTACATTAAGATATTTCACATCATCTTCATCTAGAAAAAAAAAAACTAGGGTTCATTCATTCATGCATGGTGATGAAGCTTGGAGAAACTCCCCCATTCTCTGAGCCATCACCTGCAGACCGGTCGTAACGAATGAATCCAAATCCTTGAGCCTCCATCCCGCAGGCGGTTCGACCTCATACTTCCACTCGATCCCACACCCTTCGCCCATCCGGACCACCTTCATGGTCGAGACATAGCCGTTGAACCCGACGTTCCCATCGATGATGGAGTAGGTCAGAGCCATCTGGTCGTGGTCTATCCGAAGAAGCTTCTGCTTGGTCCAGTTCTGTCCGGTCCTGTCTTTGTCGAGCGGAGTGATGAAGCCGGCGCAGTGACGGACGCAGCCAGGCTGTCCTAAGATGCCTTCGGAGTGGACGCACGTCTTCAGCGTCGGAAACACCACTTGTTCAGTCCGCAAAAATCTTCGAGGAGTGGCCACACTTGCTCTGCTCTCGCCCCTTTTATCTCTGCCACTGCCTTACCCTCCCATTTTGTCCTCTCCTGTTCGAAAACATCCATTCTTGTTTAGGACAGCCCTACCGTTTCTAAATTTCTACGAATCTATGTTTGAATCATTTCTAGTCCTTTTTATAGAATATTTGGTGAACTAATGTTCTGTGAACGTATATAAAATCTAGGTTTTTCTTTGGCATATAAAAGATAACTTACCATGCAAGAAAGCTAATGTCCCCTTCTGCTCTCTCAATGCTTTGCTTGTGAAGCTCAAGACATGAAGGAGAAGAAGAAGGTTTTGGTTCGGTTATAGTAAGATTCGAGATTTGGTTTGGTGGAAGAGAAACGATGCCGATATGTTGATAAGGCAAATTGTGTGGTACTCTCATTAGTTCATCACGTGTTGAAATTAATTTAACACGTGCCGAAATAGGTCCTGTCTGACAGTCCATAGGCCTCTCGTGAAGGAACGATAGGTTTTTGGACGATTACCATAGTAATTTATGTGGTTTGTTTTTACGTGAATACTAAAAACAAAAACAAAACAGAAATAATATCTAAAAAACGTAAAATCTTGTATAAAATATATAATTCGTTAAAAAATTATACAAAAACTCAACTTGATAATTTAACCGGTGAAATGAGAACGCAAAACTTCTGTCCATCCCGAGTTCGAATTTCAAGTTGTGGAGGGGAACGCATATTCTAATTAAATTGTTTGTTCCAAATTTCGAGATTAGTTTTGGATATCGGCTTATAATATCCGATTACCAAAAAAAAAGTGATACAAAATACATTAACTAAAAAAATCTTAAGAAATTTTTTTAATTTATTTAGACGATCATTAACAATGTAAATCTAATGATGTTTTTGTGACGACAATATTAGCGTCATATTATAAAAAATTATCACGTCAGTAAAAAATGCACAAAACACACACTTATATATAATTTACATAATTATATACATATATATTTATACCTAACCTATACATACACAAAAATATTCGCATATTTACACACAAACAAATAAATATACATACGTACACAAAAATACTCCTTATACACATATACAATATTCACATAAAAAGAACTTATATACACATACATATACATATGCATCTGCATATATATATATACATATACATATCTATGCGTATAGTTTATATACCTATATATGTGTATAAGCCTGCACATATATGTGTGTATGGGTATATGTATAACTTTGCATGTGTATAAGTGTATATATTGGTATAAATATTATATATGTATACATGTGTTTAAGTATATACATATATATTATATAAACATGTATATGTGTATATATATGTTTTTGGTAGTATTTTTATGACGTGTCAATTTTGTTATCCTCACAATTTTTATGGTATATATGAGTCTATAACGATGACGTAGCGCTGATTCTAATTCTCGGTGAGCGATATCAATCGCCGGTGACGATTTCCGTTTGAACGTGTAAAAAAAGGAAGTTTTTAAGGAATTGAAGCATTTATATGAGAATTGTTATATATAATATTAAAATAAAAATACATAAAATAAATTATCTACTTATAATATATATATATATATACATGCACACATACATTAAATCATTCAAGGCAAATTGAAATGAATAAATTTGCAATATTAAATTGGATGTTTGCCTTATATTGCCATACATACATACATATATATATATATATATATATATATATATATGTTGTTGTGATGTGTGTGAATTAATGTCCTAATAGATATCGCCGTTGGACCATCTTTAGTCGCTTTCTTTCCTTCCATCAAAGTTTTTAAATTCCACACTTCTAATAAATATGATTTTGGAATAACATTACTTCGCATTTAAGTTTGTTTCCCACCGAAAACATTGCGTCTATCAACGAGTTTTGTATATCGATTTGTACTATAAAAAGAGCGCATGTATCGATTATAGTGATTTAGATTTATTGAAATTTTAATTGGATATTATAACATAAGACAAGACAACAAATATATCATAATATCCCACTAGATCCTATAATTGAGGAACATAGTATAGTGGATTAAAGAGCTTATCTATAACACCTAACAAGAACACGGAAAATATATTATAAGAAAAATAAAAAAAACTCCATTATTAATTTCCTTTAAAATCGTAGGCCACATAAACAATTGGATCTTCACACCCAATAAAAGTCAGTCCAAGGAAGGAGGCCTACCAAATAAAAGGAGAAAAAAAAAAGAACTCGCCTTTCAAATAATAGAAAAATTCTTTTAACCAAAATAATGAATGTTTGGTATATATAATATCTAATTGATAGAATTTTGTATTATTATGGACAAATATTTCTGTAGTGCCAAAAAAACAGAGAGAAACATCTCTCTAAAATAATATAATTTGGACTGTCTTATTTTTTTGTGCTATTTTTATATTTGTTTCAAATATCTGAAAGATTATGAATCTATCATTATTTATGTTGTCTATTTAAAATTAATTTGGGACAAAAAATTCTTAAACTTCAAATACAAAATATTTTCTGAGTTCTAATATCGAATTTCCTCCGAAATATCTTTGCGATTTTTCTTTTAAAATTTTGTTGAATTTGAGAATTTTGCGAAGGAAATCGAAAAGGAGTGTCGTTTTCAACGATAATAAGTTTTATTTTTTTTTAGTTGGAAACTGCACGTCGTTTTCACGTACTCCTCGGCCGCGACTGTGTGCACGTCTCGTCGTTTGCCACTCAAGCAGTGGATCTCCTTCAAATAAATTTAATATTGAATTGAACGCCAAAATAAATGTAATAAATCTAATAAACCTTAATGGGATTAGATTTTGTAACGGTAAAATATAACAGCTAAGCTTTCGACAAAGAGATTGTGATTGGACCTCCACGGCAGAGATGCCACGTGTCTTTTCTTGTTTCATAATTTATGACACCAAAATATAATGATTGCATCTCGCTTATTAGTACGTGTGAGGTGTGAGTTCAATCTTCCAAGATACAAACAAATAGTCTACAGTGATATAATACATAGCTAAATGTTTAGATTTTTAAATGAAATTTTCCGGTTATATTATTGTTTGGCTTGGTTTGTAATTTTTTAAAGTTTTTTTTTTGTATATGCACATTGGTTTATTTATTATCGTTTTTAAACGACAAAATTATTCTGAATACATACATACATATATATATATATATATTAATTATGTACCACGTGGTAGCAGAGTAAAAATATTTTTATTCGTTATTGTTTGATGGTATGAATTTGAATCCCAAGAAAATCATACGATAAATTTTCATTTGAATCTATTTCGAATTTTCAATTAAACGAAAATGCAAGGTATTATATGTTATTCAATCATATAAAACATCAAGATAAGAAAAAGAAAACGAAAGTGTTTTCGGTCGCCTTAGTGGCCACGGCAACGGTCTCATTTTGTTAATCAACTTTTAGGGCATGACTTTATATATATATATTATATATATATGATGAAAAGCCAGGAGGACATAATCACCGAAGGGACACTCTTGTAATTGTACCTTCAACAATTAATGTTGCATCCGAATCTCATCACACAATTCTTATACATATCAGCTACCCAAACTTCTGACAATATAAACAAACATTTTTTCAGAAACCATATAAAAGTTCCATATATATATATATATATAAATGTTTCTTAGTAAATGCTCTATGTGTAAATGATTGTTGGTTTTCTTAATTCCTACTCTTTGTAACAATAATATGATATCCCTCGCCCTTCATCCCCATCATACAACCTCTGCAAAAAAAAAATATGATCTATATATGGATAAGGATTTTTAAACCGTTATTTATGTCAACAAAAATTGGTTAGCATACAAAAAAAAACATTACGAAATGTCGGATAGAAATTTTGGATTCCGCAAAAAAAATAAAAAGCAATCAAAGCAAAATAAAGAAACCTTCATTATTGGTCCGACCTTTTCTTAAAAATAATAAAATAAGAATAACTAGCTTTTTTTCCTAAAGTTGTGGTTTTAGGTAATTTTCCTTTTGTTAACACTTGAAAAATCCAAATATTATTCATTTTACTCATTCTATTTAAACAAATTAATTTATCGCCCTTTAAATACCCCATCCCCTTCTCCCTCCTTCCACAACCGATAACCCTGGAGAAAAAAAAACATAAACATTCC